AATTTTTTAACCGACTTCAAAAAAGGAGTAGGATATCAACTTCGAAATATATATTGTTTCTTTTTTTGTGTTAGCCATTCTGTTTTAAGTCGGACGGATTTCGTAAAAAAAATTATTTGTTTTTTTATTTTTTGGCCTTATAACAATTATATTCAACAATTTTATAATGAGCTCGAGGCCATTTTTTAAATGAAAATTTATTGTGGAAAAGCAACAATAATTTGAAAAAATGGTAGAAGTGATAGCTATTTCGGAAATCACCACATTTCCTCATCAGACTTCTTTCAGTAGGATTCGAACCGACGATCCCACTGACTCAGCCAGTTGCCTATGCACCGTGCTAAGACGCCTTGTAAATTATCGTTTGCTTATTTCCACTATTTTCATTTTTGTTATGCCAACACAATCAAGCGCAGCTATTCCGCTGCAATTCACTTGATCATGTGGTTGTTGGTTTTGTTGGTTTGTGCTAATAATTCTATTTTTAGAATGCTTAACTTTTAGGTGTGCTCGTCCTTAAGTTATTTGTTTTTTGTTATTTTTTGGCCTTTTAACAATTATATTCAACAATTTTATAATGAGCTCGAGGCCATTTTTTAAATGAAAATTTATTGTGGAAAAGCAACAATAATTTGAAAAAATGGTAGAAGTGATAGCTATTTCGGAAATCACCACATTTCCTCATCAGACTTCTTTCAGTAGGATTCGAACCGACGATCCCACTGACTCAGCCAGTTGCCTATGCACCGTGCTAAGTACGCCTTGTAAATTATCGTTTGCTTATTTCCACTATTTTCATTTTTGTTATGCCAACACAATCAAGCGCAGCTATTCCGCTGCAATTCACTTGATCATGTGGTTGTTGGTATTGTTGGTTTGTGCGAATAATTCTATTTTCAGAATGCTTAACTTTTTAGGTGTGCTCGTCCTTAAGTTATTTCATTTAAAAAATGGCCCCGAGCTCATTATAAAATTGTTGAATATAATTGTTATAAGGCCAAAAAATAACAAAAACAAATAACTTAAGGACGAGCACACCTAAAAAGTTAAGCATTCTAAAAATAGAATTCCTTTTATTTTGGAAATACTGTAAATCAATTTAGAGACATTTGTTATAATTCTTTCCAGCAAATTTACTATTAATCTGAAACGCATTTACATTTACCTGCAATTTCAGCTAAAATTATTACGCGTTCAAAGGTTTTCCTGTAGATAATTTCAAGAATCCTTCCCATCCTTGATATGTGACTAATAGTACTCGCGGGAGCTCATCTACCAAAAGCCAACCATTATAATCCCATCTCCAATTCACCGTAATGACTGCTAGTGTAAATCAGTTTGGCTGAATACAAATAGAAATAAAATACTATCAAGTGAAAAACTTACTAGTTTACAAATGTATAAACACCTTTTGGCGCAACAGTGCCGTAGTTTGTACAGACATACCTACAAATACATACAACTAGCAAAGTAATCTACATATATCATCCCCTTCTGCAGTTCATATCCTTAGTCAGGTCATTCGCCATCCTTTCACAAACTAAAGCAATATTTTCTTTCGAATTGTTGACTTCTTATTTGCTTGTGGGGCACAAGTCAAGCGCACTAAACAGTGAGTAAATTTTTACATCAGTGCCCACCATTCCCTTCACTCTAATTCCTGGTGGTATGTCTTCTTTAGCTACTGCCAATCCCTCCTCTCACTGTTGACTTCGTTTCCGCTTCAATGTGCACATCGAAGCCATCAAGCAGCCGGATGCGGGCCATACTACTTGGTTTGCGAGTGCACTTTTCCGTACAGCCTCAATTCTCCTTAGCCTACATGCATGCTTTCGTTTGGCTATGTATGTAGATGCTTCCTGTTTACTCGTCGTCGGTCGTCAATCGTCAGTTCACTGGCAAGTTTAAGTTAGCTATATCGGCCCCAGTTGATTTTGAATGTTGCACATTCCATATTGCATGCTGCCACATATCTACCAGCCGATGCAACTGATCTTTGTATTTCAATGTTTCTTCGATTTACTTGTGGGCACGAGTGTATATGTACATATGTACATAACTATATGTGTCTAATACTGCGGCATTTCAGCATCGGCTGATTCGTTCCCTGGTCTGTCCTTTTTCGTAGTGCGGTTTGTTTATGCATTCGGCTGTGTAATATGGATTTACTTCTTGGCATGCACAATTTTTGTTCTTCAGCACAAGTGCTGCACTCACGCTCACTCCACCCCTGATTCGCTTTTTATTTTTCAGTCCACTTTTTCTACTAAATTCACTTTGTTACTTTTTCAAATTCGGCTGTTGTCAATTTCTTTTCCATTTTCCAAATTCGTTTGGAATTGGCTCTTGCATTTGGAAAACTCACTTTTGGCTGTCTGTTGGTTGGATTTTTTCACCTGAGCTATGACGGGTGTTATCAATGTGCAACAAGTATGAATATGTTTCTGTAGGCGCGTTGTTGTTGCCTTCTATTAGATCCTTGTAGCATGTGTATGTTCGTGCGTTGAAGTGCATTGGCTGTCGTTTGTGAGGCCAATATATTCCTACATACATATTTGTTCGTGCTGCTGGGCACTAAACAACAATTTATACTTTTTGGCATTCGTCTTTGGAGTCAATTTCTCAATTTGAATTTGTGGCATTTTGTGGATTTATGCAGTTTGCATTCGCTTTTGTACACATTTTACTTAGTTTATTTTTACAGAAGCGCATACGATTACTACCGGCCAAATTTTCTTCAAAATGCATTTTTCGCTCAACTCAATTTGGAATTCCATTTGTTGTGTGTCAAAGTATGCAGGGCTCATGTACACCTGGCTAACTAATTTGTTTCTTGAAATATAATCGATGTAGAATTCTAAATATTCAGTTACTCAGTATTTTTGATGTGTTTCAAGTTTAATGTATTTTGTTAATTTTTTAATATTGTTCATGGGCCCATTCCATTGTAACTAGTGGGATATCATCGGAGCTTTAACAACCTTTGTAACTATTATTTGAATGAATGTGAAAACCCCTGTTTTTACCTTTGTGTACTCAAACACGAATTTTAGCCAAAACACTTAATTTTAAAGAAAGATTTTTTGTCTTGTGTCCGAAAGTGACAAATGTCGTCCGAAGTATTTCAAAAGGTATAAAAATAGAGCCGAGTTGAGTGTTGGTCAAATGCTTAGCGCTTTACCACAGAACTTTTTGTCTACATACACACACATCTTAAATAGCTCATAGCACTTTAGCCGCGCTTACTCTAACGAAATAAGTTCGAGTGAGAAATGGAAGAACAATTTTATATTCATGGCGACTCCCCATTTATTTTGCAGCCGCTACCGTTGCCAATGGCAGTTTGCTTCGTTTCGTATAGAAACTTTTTTAAGAAAAGCTTTTTATCGTAATTTATTGTTTGACAAATATGCCACCCAAGCTGTTGGTGTCATAGTGGCAGACGTTCTACTGGGAGAACGCATTAGCGATGTGTTTGCCGCGGTATGGTGGTCCAATCTCAACTTTTGGCCAATTTCAATAAGCGCATGCATGCATACACACCCTGCAGGAAATGTGTCTAACTATAAGCTAACTTTATGTTGATTAGGAAGGAGCTAAAAGTCACTTATTATCTGTATATTTTCTTTGACGAAAGCTAACTATGCATTACTTGTCCACTTGTTTCAAATTAGCTTTTTGTAGCTAACCACAAGTTATATATTTTATGGAAATCCCGCATAAAAAGTAACTACAAGTAGGTTATCTTTTATCAATTGATAATTTTTTTCCGCAGGGCAAGTCCTAATTTAACATATACTTACATACATAGATACATATGTATGTACGCATTTACATTATTTTTCGCTTATAAACGCTAGAAACACTATAAAAAAGTTTCAAATATTTAAATATGTATAGAATACACAAAACATCAAGCTATAATTAACCGCTTATAAGCATCTCCCACTTAGAAGCACCTAAAAATGTATCATCTTTCCGCTGATAAATTAAAATTAATTTTTCATTTTAAAATCTTTTAGTGAACAACTTGTACAAGTTTTAGCCGCTCATAAAATTTCCGAATATAATTGCTTATCATTCTCTGTGCACTTGAATTATGTTGTACATATGTATATGAGGCCGGGAGGGCAGAATAAGCCTAATCAAAATTTTTTTCTTTTTACTAACATAACTACTTAAAATAATTTCAATTGTAATACCTTTAAAAAAAGAAATGCGACTTTTATTTTAAAATTTATCATATTTGAACTTGTTTTTAGCAATTAAGTACAATAAATAAATTGTGGGTTAGGCCACATCTTCTCCCACAGCCTCATATTTCTCTTACAGTAAATAAATGAGATTTTAATTTGTTCCTGTTTTAAATGAAAATTTATTGTTTAATAGAAGTAGTCGTTCGTTTGGTTGCACCGATAATGCATATAACCGAGAATGTCAATATAAGCACTGTCAGTGCGCTTGAAAGCACCGAACCCCGCGTATTTCGATAGTACATATCGTCACTAAACACGATTAAAGGCGCGAACTCAAAAGTTGGCGAAAAAAGACGCATAAAAAAACTTCAGCGTCAAAGACTCTTAGCATACTTCGCCGAAGTTTTTCATAAGCATCTTTTTTCGCAAAATTTTTTTACGCGCCTTTTTTAGTGACGATATACATAAGATTTAAAGTCTTAGCTGTAGCAACTAGCACAATTTTAACCCTTTCGATCCGAATTTTGCAGGATGTAAGTACAAACATAGTTTTTGAATATTTAAACTTGACAATTTTGCAACAACTAATTTATAATAATAATATAATTAATAATTGTATCACTTAAAATATAAGTAGGTATGTGTTGATTTTCCGCTGTTTTCGTTTGGATTTCATTAAATTTTCTTGATTTTTTAGAAGTATTATATCCTGATAATTCATAGATCCATCTTAATAAATTAATATTCTCTAGATCTTTAGGTAATTTCAGATTAATTCTTACTCTTCTCTCTTTCCTCCGTCAGGTGTTTATGGAGATGTGCAACGTGTGAAAATCTTATACAACAAAAAGGATTCAGCACTCATACAAATGGCCGAACCACAACAAGCCTATTTGGGTAAGTACACAGCAATTGCAGGTTGCTCTTACAGAAATTGCTTACTTTGGTTTTTTCATACACTCGTCGAGTTGTTGGTATTTTAAATTCCTCGTTTATTTATTAGTCACATAACCTTAAATCTGCTGTGTTTGGTTTTGATTCGTATGTGACAAAAAAAAACTAAAGCCCTTCAGAGCTATCCCAATTCCGTGACGGCAGGCCGTTGCAACAACATTCCTCAGCGAATAAATTGCAATTCATAAATGGAATTCCCTTTTTAATAAATGCGATAAATACAAATAAACCAACCAAACTGTCACCCCAGCATCGAGCTTGCAGAATGGCCAATGTGAGCTTTGCAAGGATTCACTGAAATAATTGAAATTTTCATAAGCTTAATTATTTGTATTGCGAAATGCCCCAACCCAAGCAAATTATTCGGTTTCGAGCACACCATGGCAACATCACCTACCATCTACCAACGACACCACGCACCGATAGGCGGCAAGGTTCAATGTCAGCGAACACCTTTCGCATTTTACTTTATGGCGTGCGTAACAGTGCCGTTCGTCACTTTGGCAGACGAAAGACAACAAATGTTCACAGAGTATACCACTATGGCCAACAAGAAATTCCAACCATTTCATAAATATTTTCAGTAGCTGGCGCTGGCATGGAGGCATCCTGCCAGGTCACAGCTGGTACTCCTCTCTTGGCTACTGAGTGTTAATTTCGATTAACGGCATTAAATGGAGCTCGCAGTTAGCCTGTTGATAAGCAGCTTTCAGGCATCCTTCTACCTACTGCATTTGTTAGTTGCTCGTACTCCCTTAGGATATACATACGTATGTATGTACGTGTGGAGTTTCGGTTATTGCATTCTCCGTCACAAAGTCTTCGCTTATGTATAATTGCACCATAAAAGTGCTCGATATTGCGAACGTGTACATAACTTGCTTCTTTTTTGGACACGTGCGATTCTCTTACGAATTGAGCTTTCTTTGAGCTTTCGTGTTACATTTCCATGCTTTTCAAAGTCCACCAGCGCTGATCATCCACTAGTGTTGTCAAAGTTTATTTTAATTTATTCTTATTATTTTTCATATAAAATAAGTTTCGGCTCACTCTCCACTTCTATCCGCTATAAAGCTGAAGCACAACACCGGCGAACGGCAAATTTTTCGTCGCGGATGTTCGCCGAGATAATTAAAACACACTGATTTATATGAGAACGCGCACAACCAAAGCAAACGACGAAGTTTTGCTCGACGACTGTTCGCGACGATAGATTTATTTCTATCGCCGCGGTCAACGGCAACGACAAAAAAAGGCCATGATGACCATACTTTAAAAGTTATCGTAATTTTTGTTTAAAAGTAAAATAATATACCTTATATTTTTCTATCAGAGATTAATCTAGTAAAACGTAAGTTTACTAGTAGTTATATTTAAAGACTATTTCCATATTTTAAACTTCTTCTTGCTGGTATTTTCCCTCTTCGTTGTAAAAGCTTCCTTCTTGAAACATGGTCACCTTATCAGCTGACAGCATTCGATCCGCTCGATACCGCTCTATTTGTGTTTCAGTAAGCGAATTAGCTGGGCGAAAGTTGGTCGTCGGCATCGCTCTGCTGGGCGAAATTTGCCGTTCGCCGGGTATTGTGTTTCAAGCAATACCCGTTTGAATACATTGATGTGTAATTAAATATTTCATTGCGAAAGCATAACATGGCATTTTCATCAAAATTCTTCACAAATGTATGTGTGTGTGCCGCCTACCGTCTATTTTCTCCTTACGTCCACCTCTCCTTGTGCAGCATTTTCAAGCGCTTGCTTGCGCTCGCTCACATCATTGGTCCCATTTGCATTCATAATGCCACAGAATATTAATAAACAGAGGTGCATAAGGATACCTAACTGGTTGCGCTGAGGCAGCGTCAGTAGTACAATAACCGCAATTGAAAAAAATAAACAAATATCGCTGCATCGGTATTTATTGCAATAACAATAACAATGACGGTAGTTGGCAACAGGGGTCAAAGCAATAAATGGAAACTACTGCGGCCTGCGGTTACATTCGATATTAAAAGCATTTTTGTTCGATTTCCGGTGAAAGCAGCCTGCTACACCGTTGTCCTCACCAGCTTTTGTATGATCAAGCTTCCACTTTTCACTCACTCTTTCAGTATTCAGTTGTCTCATTGTCCTCGAGGATATTTTGATTATGGAAGATGGGGAGGAATTTTATAGGAAACGTACAAATATCGTCGATGTTTTTGCAAAACCGCCCATCGTCCAATTGCAAAATTGCCTATCATCTTACGGCGCTCGAATTTTACAGGAGAGCGAAAAACGGGGTTTCTTTGAAAGCATTGCCTTGTGAGGCGCTATTTTCTTTAGCTATTATTTTACAAATCTGTTGTTTTAATAACGATTTAACGAGTTTTATGCATAAATCTCGATGTCTGGTGTTCAGGGTTACCAAATCTCATTTTTGCCACAACGGCGATTTAGCCGGTTTTGAAAAAACATCGACGATATATATATATATATATGTATATACATATGCACTATATATGTACATATATACTTATGTTTATTATTCCTTTTCCTCCCACACCGCTCTCATCCACCAGCTTATACGTGGGGGTAACTCGATCCATCCGGGCTGTTTTGCTGCCTTGTGATTGTTATTTAATTAATAAATTTCAGTATTTTAAATATTTGAGTACACACACGTGTACTTTCCTGCAATATATTGCAGCGTATCGGTGGCAAAGTAAGCTGATGAAAACCAAAGCTGCATTATAAAAAGTTCTTTGTTCACAACAGTAAAAGGAAGTTACGAAATATTTTCATATGATTTATAGCTTTGAACATACATACATACATACACATGTATTCATACATAAATTATGTTTAAGCTTGGACTGAAAAAATTAATATTGATACCAAGCAGTGTAGAATCGTGGTTATCTGTAGTGAGTCCAAGAATATTGTTATTATTTTTTAAAAGGGTGAAGGTCATGCCCTTGTATAAGTCTTTTAAAGCTTTCTTCCAAGAAGTAAGAAGGGAAAGGCAGATTCCCCGAATAGGTGAGAAAGAACTATAAAAAAGAAAAAAGTATTGCACTATGCCATATTTGATACCATAATGCGATAATTTGAATGGCATTCATTTTTTCCGTTTTTGGTTGACTATTTCCCGGATCTGCTCATATGCATCGTCGACGTCGACGTAATTTTTTCGTAAAAAAATAGCCCTTATCTTTCCAACTCCGACTTCGCTGACCACAGTAGTATGAGAGGAACACCTCTCCGCAAAATTACTCTAGACAGCGAAGCTGGCGTTGGACGTGCGAGGGCTATTTTTGATAACAAAAAATGGCACCGACGTCGACGTTGACAACCATAATAGGGCCGATTATAAAAAGAGTATCAAACACAAGTAGGGAAAAACGCAGTGTGGGTTAGGTCTTTACGAATTAAGGTGACGATATGTAGTTTCGATGGCTCCAACGGATTTAATGTTTGTTTTGACAATTTTTGAAAGGAGGAACATTATTTTATTCTATTCTTTGATCATGGAGATAATGTGGCGGTCTCCAGCGCGTCTTCGTATTTTGGAAACATTGAGCTCAAATTCTTACAATAAAAGATCTCTTTTTAAAATTTGTCACATAGTCTCGGCCCTTTTTCATGAATATTTCAGCGAAGTAACTCTTCGATTTGTACCACTGAACCTGTTCAAATAAGTTAGTAATGCAGTGGCTGCCAGCTAAAATTAATGGAAAATATTAAGCAGAGTGGGCAAAAACTCGGAGTTCGAGCGAGCGAGCGAGCAAACTCCTACTCAATGCCTCGCAGACAACGAGGCGCTCGCAGCTCATACTCGTAGCAGCAATGAGGCGAGGCACGAGAAGTTTGGCTCGCTCCCCAAACGAGCGAGCGCTGCTTGTTTGCTCGCGCTCCTATTAAACGAGCGAGGCTGTTGTGTTGCCTCGCTCGCAGTGCGAGGAGAGTAGCTGTCTGCATACTCACTCTGCTAGGAAGGACGAGTGAGCGACGAGCGAGCGCTCCGAGTGTACTATACAACGCATGCATTTTTGTGCATAAAAATGTGGGAATGTATGTCAATAGATTATGTACGAAAGTATGTTAATAATTATATGTACATATGCATATATATATCTATAGTATTATATTAGGGCAGCATTTAAAACAACAAATAAAATTGAATACACACATAAGCATAGATTATGGAATGAATTATTTTTTAGAGTTATATTCATACATGTGTACACACATAACATGCATATTTATATATGTTTGTATGTACGTATTTATGTATATATGCATTTATGTATGTATGTACATATTCATGTATTTTGTCTTTACAGAGAAAAGTAAGTAACGAAGATATTATAATCGTTTGTGCCGCAGAAACAAAAAACAAGTAAGCACTT